CTCTGTCTCAAAAAAAAAACCCCTTACCTCACTCAAAATACACCGCAGGCACCAGTCAATAAGGCCAACCGAACCACTTTTTCCTCTGGGTTTGGATCTTTGCCTTGGGTTGAACATCAGAAGGCAGCAGTAGGAATTCAATCATGGGTGCATTGAGTCAACTGCCCCAAAGATGAGTCTGCAGTGGGGCTGCCATTCTCCTCAGACGCGACCTGGAGGAGCGAGCAGCCGGCGGAGATGGGAATCTGCTTCTGTGGGACGCGTGGGCAGTCCTTCTGCGGTGGGTACGCCGGGACATTCTGGTGCGCAGAGATCCCGGGCATGTTCACACTCCCCTTTCTGGGGGAAATGAGCCAGCCTATCCAAGGGTTTTTTCTCTAACTCGTTGCATGAGTTATTACATGGCGATAACCATTCTGTCTTCCTGCCCTCTGCTGGGACTGTCACCCCTTGCCTTCCCCAAGCCTTTCCCTTAAATACTGTGGCCCAAGCATGGGCCCAAACCTCCTTCCTTGCTTTCTGTTAGCATACCTGTGACTGAACTTTCTGAAATACAGAGGAAAGACAAAAAGCATAAGATAACCAGAGACGATGCCAACTGCTTTCAGAGCCACAGCTCTGCACGTCAGTGGCTGACTCGCCCACGGTTACTCACCGAAGCCCCGTCTCAGGCACTGTCGGACACACATGAAGACGTCTTCAGTGCTGGGCACCTCTCGTCCCCTTCCGGATGAGGGTCCAGCATTCAAGATCCCCTAAGGTCCGAATGGGTAGTCAGCAGGCCTGTAGGATGTGTCCTCGTCCCTCACCAGGAAGGTACAAGCATGATCCTGTTTATTCACTCAGCAAACGTTCACTGCAGTCTCAGCTTTCTGGGGCAGGGGTTGGGCCCGTGTTTGTTGTATTTGTTCAGGCCCAGGGCGACCCGGCTCTCAGGCGGCGTCCTGTCACGCTGAGTACTCAGCCTCGGCTGTCGTTGTTCATCCCTCATGTGTGTGTTGGGGACGGGGGAGCCGTCAGTGCGCGGAATTTCCGACCGTGTGGACTCTGGGGATCCCGGCCCTGCGCGAGCCCGGCAAGTCACCGCCCAGAGCCTCGGGCTCACCGCTGCAGAGCGGGGACGCTGCAGCCTCCGTCTCAGGGTAGTGACGCGGTGGCAGAACCGGCTGACACACCGGACCCAGGGACGGGCCGGACTGCGGGGAATCCGATGACCCAGCAGGCAGCGTGTGGGGTGCTGCGGACGGGGTGCCCCCCGCCCACAGCACGACCATCTGACACACGCCTGCCGTGCGGTTAGCCAGAGTGTGTAGGAAAGTGGGGTCAAACGTTTGCTCCCACAAGGTGTGGAGGAGAGAGCAGGGAGGGGGCTGGGGAGGGGGTGCTGGCCTCGCCACTTCCCGGCCGGCTGACTTTGAGAAACCACTCGGCCTTGGTTTTCTGCCGTACGCCACGGGGCTCGGGTGGTGATAACGTATAGGGTCGCTGTGGGGCATTTAATGCACCCACCCCAGTCTGCCTTTCTGTGCTCACCAGCCTCCTGTGAGACGCTCCTCGTATAAAATGCATCCGGCGCCCGCTGGTCTGTTTCCCTGGAGGCCTTGGACCTTCTGGTAGCTGAGCCCGAGGCCCGAACAAGGTGCCGGGCACTTGGCGCGGGCGGCCTCCCGACGCGGGCGCTTGCAGAGCCGCTCTCCCGACCCCGCCTGCCAGCCTGTCGTGTTTGCCCTAAAAATTTGGAGATCAGAAGCAGCCACGTTGGCTGGGTCAGGGCATTTCGTCTCCCACCTGGAAGATACGCAGGGAGGCAGGGCGTGCCGTCTTCCTTCTCACTCACGGCCTCGGGGGAGTTTTGTCCCAGCCGCAGGCACTCAGGGGACGTGGCCACTCCACCGTCCACCAGTCAGGCGTGCAGCAGTCTGATGGCCGTCTGGCCTGGGGCTTGCAGATGGGACCGTCTTCGAAGTCGGTTTGCGTGGCAGCCTTGGGTTCAAAACCGATTCAGTGCCCTTGAGTGAAACATTTCTTTCTCCGTTCTCCAAACACTAGGGAAGGACCGAATCATATTTGTGACCAAAGAAGACCACGAAACTCCAAGCAACGCAGAGCTGGTGGCGGACGACCCCAATGACCCGTACGAGGAGCACGGTGAGTGACACGGGGCCTCCCAGGGACCACAGACACGTCCTGGAGGCAGGGATCTCAGCCTTGTTAATTCCTTTCCCAGCTTGCCCTGGCCAAGGCCAGCCTCCCCCGACGCACCCCCTTGTCGTTAGGCCACAACGCAGCAGTCTCTACTTACTCAAATACTTCTGCCTCTTCTCTTCTGAGTTTTCGCACTCATCTAAGTCAGTTGGATGCGTCACAGTGATTAGGTTTTGCGGGAGGCCGTCAGTGGACTCGGTCTAGATAGGTTCAGGTGACAGGAACCCTCGTGCTCAGTCAAGTAATTAGACAGACATCCGCCACGTCGCCGAGCTTTATCAGCAGGCGGACACACACACAGTCACACACCGTGTTCCGTGGGGTCGATGACGGCCCTGCTCTCTCCTAAGTGGTCCAGCAAGTGCCTTGCATGAGAAGGCCACACAACAGAGACAAGTTCCAGCAGCAGGATTAAGCCAACCTACGCTGTTAACGGCTGAGCACAGCAATGGTCACCAGGCCCTGTGATCATGCCGCTGCACTGCAGGCTGGGTGACAGAGTTGAGACCTCGTCTCAAAACAAAAAAACAAACAAAAAAAGGACTCTCTGGAGGCCTGCAGGGCAAATCAAGCCTGATTTTGTTTGTGTCACAGTTTTTTAAAAAATGTAAATGCGTCTGCGTTTAGGCTGGGCAGCCGCTCCAGTTCCCACGTTCTCTGTTGTCCCCTCGTCTTCTCTGTCTGCTTCCGTTGTCCACGGTGTATCTGCTTGGACTCTAGGCGGCCCCTGTGCGGTATCTGTCCTTGCAGCCCCTTCTACTTGCACAAAGACGCATATAGAACCCAGAGAACTCCGGGACCAGGTTCCGAGCTCTCGTTGCAAAATCACGAAGTGGGCTACGTCGGCTGCCGGTGTATGTCCCCTACCTGCCTACCGGCACCCAGCGCTGTGGCTGCGGTGGTGCTTGGAGCAGCTGAGTTGTGGCGAGAGAAAAGACGGCAGAATTAATTTTCCTAGAATCAAAAAATCAGGAGGGTCTTGAAGACCGGAAGACTGAGGGCCCGGAAGCGGCAAGGACTAGAACTAACTCTAGTCCTCGACCACGTGTTTGAAAGTGCACAGCATCTGGCTTCCTGTAACACGCCAGAGCGGCCTTGTGTGTGGGTTTACGTTGTTTCCCTGAGGTGCACGTTGGTACCGTGTTCTCCGTGAGGAGCTATCTCGTTCCAGCTCACCTGCCCCCGAGAAATAGCAAATCAAGGACTCCTGCAGACCTGGGTTATAATTTTTAAATTATTACAGTTTATATTATCTTAATAGAAAATGCTATTACTTCTTTTGGAAACTGGTCATGCAGATTTGTTAGCAGGTTTGAACCTCCGGGGGCAGCATTTGTGGATGTTTTTCCCCCCAGAGATTCCTGGGAAGCAGGGAGAGGTGCTGAGGGAGGGGCAGGGCGTGGGCTCTGGGAGTCCTGCAGGCCCTGGCCGCGGTCCCAACGTGACCCCACAAACCCCAGGAACCTCACGTACAAACCGTGCTCAGTAGTAGCTGCTGAAGAAGTTGTCAGAAGGAACACGCGAGTTACCAAGCACAGCTTGACGCAGGGAACTTGCTCCGTAGCTGCAGGCGGTGCGCGCGGTCAGCTGCCTGCCAAGGGGGCAGGACTGGCTGACGTCTCCTCTGTTGTCCTCATTTTATGAATAAGGAACAGCAATGGCAGATCCGTTGGTCAGCGACGTTTCCTGAGCTGGGTCTTCACCTAGGACGTTGGACGGGAGTGCAGCGCGCCAGGCCTGGGCACCCCCTGGAGGGAAGCAGCATGTCTGGTTTCATTGGCACTTTGAAAGCTCCCCCTCTCCTTAGAAGACTCACACGAGGAGCTTCTGTAGGAATCGTATTTCTGTGTCTGTCACAGAGCTGAGAATGAGGCCACCCTGAAAGCATCTTGGAAAACCAGGAAATACTATATAGGTGTGAACAGAGCTCAACAGTAAGAAAAGGTGCAAAGTTGAGTAGCACCAGGCCTATATGTGATACTGAAAATGAAAACCCATCCCTAAACTCATTCCCTTCACAACACACACGTACAGTTTGACAGATTGGTCGATACGTTGACAAGAATGCGGCTGCACCCTGGCATGTCTGAGCATCTGTGCACGAGGGTCAGCCTCCTCCCCGTTTCCAGCCCCCGGCCTCCGCTGAGCCTCTAAGAGCAGCCGCAGGGCAGGAGGGGCCGGGGCAGGGAACGTGGGGGGTGGGGTGGAATTCCCGGCAGGGACAGGGAGGGGGAGGTCAGCACCCCTGCTCCTTAAAGTGCTTTGGCTTTCACAAAGCTCCTCTACGCACGCGAGCGAGCAATCGCGTCTTTGATTAAACAGTTTCCAGTGTTGATGACACGCGGCCTCACAGCTCCGGGAGGCGGCTCAGAAGGTAGATAGAGAAAGATGCCCACAGTGCCTTTGCTCGTAGCTGGGTTTGTACTAGGTGCTGGAGCCTGATCCGGATCAAGGGGCAGGTCCGCAGGTAAGTGCCTGCCAGGCGACCACGGTGCGCACTGCTCCGCTCCTCCTACAGCGGCCCGTGAGCGCTGGGCGGGTTTTGCATTTTCTGAAACCTTAGAGCACCTCTCACGTTTTCCTTGCTCGTCTCCCCGTTCCAGGACTGATACTGCCGAACGGGGACATTAACTGGAACTGCCCGTGCCTCGGGGGCATGGCCAGCGGCCCCTGCGGGGAGCAGTTCAAGTCGGCCTTTTCCTGCTTCCACTACAGCACGGAGGACGTCAAGGGGTCGGACTGCATAGACCAGTTCCGGGCCATGCAGGAATGCATGCAGAAATACCCGGACCTCTATCCCCAGGAAGACGAGGAGGAGGAGGAGGAGGAAAAGCAGCCGGCAGAACGCGCAGAAGCAGCGGCTGGCACCGAGGCCACTGCAACCAAAGAGGAGGAGGGGTCGAGTTAATGACAGCCACGAGGCCCTGGGCTCCAGTCCTCCGCTTTAGATATGGACCTTCCGCAAAATGCCTTTTTGTCACCTTCCGAGAAAGTGTCTTTTCCTCTGTTCCGTGCACTGCAATGTACAAAGTAACTTATTTTGACGATCGGAGGTCTTGGTCTCTCGACACACACTGAAAAAAAATGGGGATTGTGTGTATGTGCGTCGCACACAAACCCGTCAGCAAACGCAGCCGCCACTGTTGAATTCTCAGCTTGCTCTGAATTTTACCACTTTGAAATAACGTGCTGAGTGTTGCCAGCATCCAAAAATCGTTATCCAGGAATGTTTCTATGAGTGAGTTGATTTATTCTGATTCATTATATACCTTTGAGTGGGTTTTACACCCCTTTGGGTAACGAGACAGAAACAAAACCATCTTGACCCTGAGTACATGAGGGGTTACTACATTCCTGATACAGTTTGGTTTCCATTTTTGCATTGAGCTCTGGGTTTTCTAATTTTAGAAGGTGGAGGTTTGGACCCTCCCATTCGTCCCATTCGTGATCCCTTTCTCCGTGAAGAGAGACAGGCTGGGTTTTGCTGTTCTTGCTATTCCAGACACCCCGGCTTGGGGCCTGTGTTCACGCCAGCTCCCAGTCTGGTCAGACGCAATGTTCTTGAGAGGTGGGGACCTAATCGCTACCAGGGGAGCAGCCCGGAGAGGAAAGGATGTGAATTAAGTACTCAATTAAAAGGAAACATGATTTCTACCTGAGTTTGAATATGTCCTTTGTTTTTACTAATTCAGAATATTTTTGATGTGAAGAAACATAAATTGTGAAAAATTAAATTGAAATTCTTCTCTAAAGGTAAACCAGTTCGAGTCTGTTAAAATGTTCTGCGTTGAGTTTAAAGCGAGCTCACCATTTTTGTACGTGAGCAGACGTCACGCAGACGTTGCGGTTAATGCATGCAGTGGAGAAGCCTCTTCCCCTCTGAAGATAAAGAAAAGATGCTTTTGCAGATTCAGCTGCCTAAAGTAACCGCTAGACGGTTCTCAGGTTGTGGCGTAGTAATGCCTCATCTGTCCCAAGTGTATTATTTATCGCTATGTAGAAAATTACCTTAATTCCGAATAGCATTTTTGTTAGAAAATAAAAATACCTCAAACAAGTTACACGGCTCACCTGGGTTGTCCAGTTAGTCCCTCACGAGGCTGTGATCTCAAGGCCTTTCAAAATCACTCCAGTGGTTTTGGGCAGGATTCGGTGGGTTGAATGCTGCGGGTTGCTGTATCGAAGCCCTCGGTTCCTCACTGGCTGTTGGCCAGAGACCTCCCTCGGTTCCTCGCCACGTGGGCCTTGCGTGAGGTCGGCTTGCGGCATGGCAGGTGGCTGCCCACAGAGCAAGCAGGGGAGCAAGATGGAAGCCAGAGCCTTTCTGTAACCTCATCTTGACAGTGATGCTCCATCACTGTGCCATGTTCTGTTTGTTACAAGTGAGCCCACACTTCCACCAAGCCTGCACTCGAGGGGAGGCTGCCCCCCACACTGGAGGATGAGGCACCGCATTCCAGCTCGAAAGCACAATTAAAACGTGTGAGTCGTGGTCCAGAGATGTTACGCAAGTAGAGGACCGTGGCATCTAAATCCACAGCTTTAAAAAGAAGTCTTGCTTGGTTAGGAGCCAAGAACCTGGCGCTGGCCAGGTTTGGAAGGTGTGACAGCCCTGTGGAGGGCCCCGGTGACTTCTTTTAACAAAGCCTTGCACATTTTGAGACATCTTTTTTAGTTAAAAATTTGGTCATGACAAGGACTATGTCACACAACCCATTCATTTGCTGCATTTAGTAAACCGCCACAGACACAAGCCCTAGGGACACAGAAGAGCGACTCATTCATGGTACTTGCCAGCAAGCTGCAGTCTGGCCAGGAAGCGAACATTTACTAGAAGGCAGAAAAGAATGGATCGGTATCCATGCATGTATCACCCGTCGTATTTGTAACCTGCACTTGATGGTTTGGGCCTTGGTGCCTCGGTATCGGCTTTAGAATCAGGCTTGAGAGAGGGCCGGCAGGATCGATGCCTGCACCCTCGTAAGATGTGCATCTGGCTGAAAGAAACAACGGCTTTTTCCCATTTCCGTTCAACTTTTTGTGGAAGCTCCACACTCTCCGATAGCTACACTGTTAATACTTTACGTTCCCAACAGCGTAGGAAAGTTTCCCTTTTTCCGCCTCCTCCCCAGCATCTATTATTGCCTGTATTTTCTACAAAAGGCATTTTAACGAGGGTGAGCTATCTCATTCTGGTTCTTCCGTTTCTGAATAGCGACGCTAGGACCGCTTTTTCATATGCCTGTTTGGCCACGTGTATGTCTTCTGAGACGTGTCTATTCAGATCATTTGCCTACTTTTTAATTGGATTATTTGGTTTCCTTTGCTATTGAATTTGAGTTCCTTACATATTCTAGTTATTAATCCCTTGTCAGTCGAATAATTTGCAGATCTTTCCTCCCGTTCTGTAGGTTGGCTCTTCACTTTGTTTCCTTTGCTGTGCAGAAACTTTTTAACAGAAATAGAAAAAATAATCTTAAAACTGACATGGAACCACAAAAGACCCAGAATAGCCAAGGCAGTTCTGAGCAAAAAGAACCAAGCTGGAGACATCAGACGCCTCGATTTCAAAAGACGCTACAGAGCCACGGGAACCAAAACGGCATCGTACTGGCATAAAAACATAGACCAGTGGAACCGAATAGCAAACTCAGAAATAAATTCATGCATTTATGGTCAACTGATATTTTGCAAAGGTGCCGAGAACATACATCGGGGAGAGGAGTCTCTTCGATAAAGAGTGCTGGGGAAAATGGGCATCCGTATGCAGAAGAATGAAAGCCCCTTCTCTTTCCATATACAAAAAACAAATCAAAATGGATTAAAGACTGAAAGGTAAGACCCGAAACTATAAAACTACTAGAAAAAAAAAACCCACTGGGGAAATGTTCTAAGACATGGGTCTGAGCGATGGTTTCTCAAGTAAGGCATCCAAAACACAGGCAGACACGGCAAAACAGACAAACGTAATCACACTGAGAAATTAAGTCATCTGATCTGTGGTATTGTGATCATGACACAGAACAGACTAGGGCACGTGTGGCAAAATATTTAGTGTCAGCAAAAAAATCCTTAGCCTTCTCTCCAGTGACATCTCCCGATATCCAGAAATATCCCCCAAAAGTGAGGAAAAATGTTTTTTAATGCAAACAAAATCTGAGGGAATGCATTGCCGAAAGACTTACCTTGCAGGAAGCGGCCCTTCGAGAAGGAAAATAAGGGCAGGGCGCGGTGGCTCACGCCTGTAATCCCAGCACTCTGGGAGGCCGAGGCGGGTGGATTGTTTGAGCTCAGGAGTTTGAGACCAGCCTGAGCAAGAGCAAGACCCCGTCTCTACTAAAAATAGAAAGAAATGATCTGGACAACTAAAAATCTATAGAAAAAATTAGCCAGGCATGGTGACGCATACCTGTAGTCCCAGCTGCTCGGGAGGCTGAGGCAGGAGGGTCACTTGAGCCCAGGAGTTTGAGGCTGCTGTGAGCGAGGCTGATGCCACGGCACTCTCCCTGGGTGACACAGTGAGACTCTTTCTCAAAAAAAAAAAAAAAGGAAAATAATATAGGTCCTAAACTCAGACCTCTATAAACAAACAAACAAACAAAAAGATCAGAAGAAACAAGTGAAGGTAAAACCTTGTTTTTATTCCTTTGATTTAAAAGATAGCTGGTTGTTTAGTGACAATGCATTTAGTTATTATAGTATATGAATATATAAAATGAATGAAAGCAACATCAGTATTGAGTTATTATAGTTCACGAATAAGTAAAATGAAGTAAGGCCATGCCACAAGGGATGGGAGGGAAGAATTAGGAATATTTCGTAGAGTGGGAATTAGGAAGAATTAGGAATATTCTGTAGCCACACATGGTGGCTCCCAGAATGTATGTCCACATCCTTCCTTGTCTTCCTACCCAGATGTGGCGTTCAGGGGTGTCAGCTGGTCCTTGTTAATCAGCTTTCCCAGGGGTGACTTTTCTTCAGTTCAATTCTCATCCAAGATGTTCAAGCAGTTTATCCAGACGGCGCTTCTAGAAGACACAGTGGGGAAGGCCAGTGGCAGGGGTCAGATACGTCAGGGATCAGATGACCGCCTGAACAGAAGGGTCTCTGTCTAGAGAGCATTCTCGAGTTTGGGGAAGTCTTCCCTCTTTGTTATACCTGTACTCAGTCTGGACCAGTCAAAAAGCGTTTCTTTCGTAGAGGGAGTTTAAGCTATTTTTGTAAGGGTAAGCTCTGTTTTAAGGTTTACGAGACTTGCCTCTGTGCTGAAACAGTCTTGCCTCCTGGAAATCCTCAGACCAGGTCGCCTCCTACTCCCAAGTGACACACAGTGTCAGCCTTGCAAGATGTTTAGATGTGCAGCTATTATTAATATTATAGGCACAGTATGTCTCTCACTGTGTACTGCACTGAACCCCACAAATGTTGTTACCCTACTTGGAAAAAGGGTCTCTGTGGATGTCGTTAAGTGAAGGATATTGAAATGAGATCAGCCTGAATCAGCCGGGTGGGGTGGGCCTACATCTGATGACCAGCGTCCTCCTAACAGATCTCCCTGTCTGTCTTTTCTACGCATGGACGGGGCAGAGATTGGGGTGACAGGGCCAAGAGCCAAAGAATTCCCGGATCCGTGAGAGACTGTGAGAGACAAGGAAAAATTTTCCCCCTCGACTCCTCAGGGGGCACGTAACCTCGCCTACACCTCGATTTCAGACTCCCGGCCTCCAGAGCCACGAGAATGAACCGAAGTCACTGAGTCTTTGGTGACTCGTTATAACATCCACGAGAAACTAACATGTTCTGAAGCGCCCGCACTCCACGGGAAGCAAAATACCGCCATTCGGGCGTGCATCTAGATCGTTTGGAAACGTATACCGTAAGCGCTAGGCCAAACGTGAAAACAGCTTTTAAAGTATCACCGATAGACTTGGGGCGAAAATTAAAACAGACTCATTGAGAACGTGTATTGGACACCGACGAGGCAGACGATTGCTCTGGCGATGGCCGTGATGTGTTACCGACGTGGTCGACGTTTGGTATGGACTTCACCGTTCCCCCAAATCCATATAGTGAAGCTCTGACCCTCAGTGTGGCTATCTGTGGAGACGGGGGTCCCTGAGAAGGCAATTAAGATGAAATGAGATCGCCGAGATGAGACACGGCCCCGTCCGTGAGCGTCCTTAGAAGGAGAGACGGACGCCAGGAAGCGAGGAAGCTCCTGCTCCCTCTGCCCTGGGAGGCCGCGGGGAGAAGCCGGCCAGCTGTCTGTCTGCCAGCCACGAAGAGAGACCTCGTCGAGCTCTCGGGGCTCGTTGGCACCCAGATCTCGAAATTCTCAGCCTCCAGGACTCTGAGAAAAAAAATCTGAAAGCTACCCTGTCTGTGGTATTATTTCATTCTGGCGGCCTCAGCAGACACAGATGTCACAAACAGCACGCTAAGTGCAAGTGGTCTGGATACACCAATTCAGATACAGAAACCGGAGTCAGAGCAGATAAAGCGAGGTCCGGCTATAACTTATCTACAAATACCTTCTACATTATTCCAGAAACCACTTTTAAAATGTCAGTATATTTATATTTAAATAAAAGGGATAGAGTGAAATGTACCATGCCAACCA